ATTCTGCTTTTTAAAGTGGCCACCTTTCCCATGGTCCAGAGCCAAGTGTGCCACATTATACGGAATGGATACAGACAACTTTCTTTATCAAAGTTCCCCAAGACAGCCCGGTGTGCTAATCTCTGGCTCACGGCAGGAGCGCCTTGTAGAACTCGGTGCACACTGACCACCAAGCTCACCAGACTGTAAGCTCCCTGGAGGAGACCTCTGTGTGGTCTCGTCACTTTCCCCATCCCTAGAACTTAGCCCACATTATTTGTTGATCATCTACTCTGTACCCGATTCCCGGAGCAGCATGGGGAGCGGCGTGAAGCTCAGGGCTGAAGACTATGGTTCCTGCAATCACAGCGGTCACGAAATAGGGGGTCTGTAATTACTCACTGCACTGAAGAAATGAATGAAAAGTACACAAACCTCCCCCAGGGAAGTTTCCACAGTGACTTCATTATTTTCCACCTGCAGAACAAAGACTGCGCTCTGGAGCTGGGGTTCAAGGTCTTTCTGAGAGGTGGAGAGGCTTCAAGGTTAGTTCTCTGCTTGTTAGGACGGCCGGGACTAATGCTGCAGCCTGGGAATTTAAACAGCAGAAATTCCTTTCTCACCATCCTAGAGGCTGTGAGCCCAAGATCAAGGTGTTGATGGGCCTGGCTTCTCCTGAGGCCTCTCTCTCCGGCTTCTAAGTGACCATCTTCTCCTGTGTCCTCGCATGGCCTTCCTTTGCGCCTCAGCATCCCTGGTGTCTCTGTCCAAATGTCCTTTCTTTCAAGAGCCTCAGTCAAATTGGATTTGGGTCCACCTTCATGGCCTCCTTTGAATTAATCACCTCTCTAGAAGCCCTGTCTCTGAATACAGCCCCATAGGAGGTCCTGGGGTTATGATTCCACATATGAATTTGAGAGGGACACAGCTGAGTCCCTAACAACTGGAAATATGATTTTAAAATACAACAAAACTGGGTTCTGAGAAAAACTCTGAAATTCACTTAGTAACAGGTGTACCAGTGAGAAGCCACTATGCTTGTCTGAGACTTCTCTCGCACAAGGGAAAATTACCATAGCTTATGAGAGCACCTAGCGGTGCTCAACACACAGTAGGCACTCAAGTAATTATAGAGACGGCCATCACCACTCAGCCTCCCCTACGCCCCCCAGCAGCGCCCCTTTACTTCCAGTTCCTGAGCTCAGGGAGCTGCTGAGCCCTGTCCCTGCCTGTTCCTCTTCATATGCATACCCTGTCCCCAGCTCTGGCTCAGCTTCCAGCAGCCAGGCAGAGGTCATCCCTCGGCTCCTTTCTCCGAGCTTTGTTATCTTCCTTGTCAATTCCACACCACCACTCAATTATCACCCGCAAATTAAATCCCTACGCTGTTAATTATTCTGCTAACTCTTCCTGCACATATGACGGCCTTCCCAAGTAGATAGGAGGATTTTTTGATCAAAGTCCAACATTATGCTTTTTAGCTTCCGTCACAGCACCTATCAAATGTCCCAAACCTAACAGGCTTTAATCAACCAAGAGTTTCTGAAGGTAAGGATATTTGAACTGTACCCCGTTACCCATGAAGGGTATGTCCTAAGACCCCCAGTGGCTGCTGGAAACCAGCAAAGCATCAAACCCTACATATGCTGCTGTGTCCCAGTACACACATACATAGATTCAGTGTCTTTTCCATCCTATCTGAGCATTGACCACATGCAATGGGTAACTTACGCAGTCTGAGGTGTGACAGCAAAACTAGCAGAAATTACTCTTTCTTTCTCCATAAATTCCCAGAAGAAGTTTCATTTTTACTGCACAACATAGAAACCTCAGTATGCAATACGTTTTATTTCTCAATTAATTTTAGAACTTTCATCTCGTTACCTAAAAGAAGTACTTTACAGCTTTTCTGTGGCACATCTGAATAGCCAACACCACTACTCTTGAGCTTTTGACACATTATTAAATAAAATAAGGATTATTTGAACATTAGCACCATGACACACCAGCCAATCTGATAGCCTAGGTGGCTTCCAAGTGATCAGCAGGTAGGCAGCATATGCAGTGTAGATACACCTGATAAAGGGGTGATTCATATGCCTGGACAGAGGAAGTAGAAGGTGTGGGACTTCACCAGGCTCCTCAAAATGCCATGCAATTTAAAACTTCTGACCTCTTTACTTCTGGAATTTTGTATTTGATATTAAGGGGGAATTATGTACAAATAACCAGTATTCACTGATTGAATAGGAGTGTTTGTAGATTTGGTATAAGAAAAACCACAGGAGACAGAAACACTAAATTTAGGCTGCTGACTCTTTTTTGAAGAGTAATGATATAATCTAGAATGGATTCAGCAGTGTAGGTAATGTTTTGCTTTTTATCTGGATAGCAGCCGTGTCATTTTTGTAAAACTGAGAAATTAGAATTCATTAATTGATAGCTGCTTTTTCTGGATGAACTTACTAACATACACAAGTGGTATAGGAGAAATTCTTCTTCTGACATGAGAAAAAGGTGCTTAAAATATTTGTCTTACAAGAGATTTAGTTAGAGTTTTAGGACACAGTTCAACAAACTTTTAATTAATATTTTATCTGGCAGGAAATATTTATGAGACATTACCAGCTTCATAAATGCAAATAGAACTGCTATAAATAGAAGAAAAAATAATTTCCTGTATCATATTCTAAAGAGAAAACTTTGATTGTGGATTCATCTCGTGTTCCAGGAAAGAAGGTAAGAGAAGCAGATTAAAGGGAAGAGAGGAGGTGGTCTGCACGCTAATTAACAATGATAAGGCACACAAATTCTCTGTTGCTTTCTAGTCTTCCTCATCAATTTTAAGAGAATAAAAGATACATTTAGCACCTTTCAGAGCTACTTGAGTAGCTTTACAACTGTGTCACCTCACCTCAAGTATCATCTGTGCTCTTTGGGAGACTTGGTCATATGAGAGAGATTACCCTAAATTTCCAACAATCAGTCAGAACTAGAATACCCCTGTTTCTTAGTTTTCAGGTGTGGACTGAGACCTAGACACAGATTTTCTGTCTCCTGGCCCATCACTGAAAGCAGTATTTCCCAGGCCACTCTATGTTCTGTTGCAAAGTCAGCCGTGATAGGAAACTGTTGTGTCAACTTGGGAAAGAACGCCCAGCTGATTGGCTTAGCACAGTTCTGGGTGTGACGGAATGATGGACTTGCTGAAAAGGGAAGACCCACCCTGAGTGTGAGTGGCACCAACCAATAGGCTTGCAGCCTGGATGGAATAAAAGGGGAAGGAAGAAGAAAGTCTCATTTCTGCTTCTGCAGAGGAGCTCCAGTCTTCACCATCGTCTTTGGACATCCATCACAGGGCTTCTGAGACACTCTTCAGCGTTCCAGTGCAGATTCCTCAGCCTTCCAGTGTAGACCTTTCGGCTTCTCAGCACAGACTCCAACAGGACTGCAGTGAGCAGTGGTCTTCCACCTTTGACTGGATTGTCCAGCTCTTCCACACCTGACTGCAGGTGCCCACTGTAATCCTAACTTGTAAATCTACATATAAACGAGCCTGTGTGTTAAGTGTGTTACTCTCATGAACTCTGATACATCAACCCATTAGGGGAGAAGAAATACCACAGATACTGCACTTAACCCAAAGCCCATGGACCTCAGAACTACACCACAAAGGCCTCTTCCAGGACCAGCAAATTAGAGAATCAAGTGCTTCCTTCTCAGAATGTTAAAACATAAGATCAACCAACATATAGTGGATGAGCACCAAGACGGATGACATCCCTTAGGAGGACAGAGAGTTTCCTCGCTAGTAGGGCCCATGGCAGCCAGACCCAGTGATCAGCCTGTCCACAGAGAGGGCAGACGGGTGGAAGGGCAAACCCAGGCAGCCTGCTCAAAGCCCTGGCTGCCCCGAAAGGTACCCTCTTCCAGGACAAGCAGTTTCTCCTTACAGTGGAATAACCCGGTTTCGTTTTGGTACTCATCATGCAAAGGATAAATACTCACCTCAGGGAACATCAGAGGTACTGGAGATACCAAGAGCCAGATCAAGCAACGTCTACCTCAGAAAGGGAAGACAGAGCAAGGCCTGGAGTGGAGGTGTTCAACCCAAGAGGCTGGAAACAGACAGACAGGGGGCCAGGGGTAACAGCGCCAGGCAAGAGGGGCCACCCTGAAGGGACCCCAACTCAGCCCCCCCCCCCCCCCCCCCCCCCCCCCCCCCCGCCAGCGTGCCCAGACAGCAGCAGGCTGACTTCCCAACTCATACAGATTGTAGATTCCTGTCTGTCTCCTCAAGGTCAGGAGGAACCCAGAGGGAAGGCGGGGAGATGCCCCGGGACCCCGCCTACGCCCAGGAATGCACCGGCTCCAGCTGTCTTTCCGCGCAGGACCCCACCCGACCCGGCGTCCCCGCCGCACAGCGCCCAAGCCGCTCCCCCACAGCGCGGAGCCTCCCCAGTTTTCTGACCTAAGAGTTTCTTCTGTGTGCTCCACCGCGCCCACAAACGCTGGTTCGCGGGCACTCACACCCGTGCACACCCACGCACGCGGGCGGCCCACACTTGCATGGGACGCTCACACACGCGCACCCACGCGCACAGGTCTCGACCGCGCACTCCAGGACCCAGCCCCGGGTAGCAGGGAGGCGGCCGAGCCCGGGGAGGGCTGCCCTCCCGTCTAGCTGGGGTCCAGGGTCACATGCAGCCCCAGTCCCGTCCCCACAGCCTTTGCCTGTGGCCCTTTAAATCAATCGCGGTATTATCCAGAGATTCATCTGTAGTGGGGAGAGAGGGAGGAGAGCCAGGGAGAGGTGGGAGGGGGG